GGTTGAGGTGTAATGACTTCTTTTCTGTATGCTTCTCTGTGAGTATGTGAGGTGTGAAAATGGCATTGGTGGTACTCAAGTCTTTGACAAAACTGCACTGGTTGATACTGATTTCAGTGATGTTATGGTTGATAGGCTGGTTTCACTGCTTGTGACAGGAGGTAGATTGATTGGTAGTTGGAACAATCTGCCAGGTCACCTTTGTTCTTAAAAAAGGGAATTGTGGTACTCATGGCCCAATCAGCAGGCAGGTAGCCAGACTTCAGTGGCATTGAAGAAGTTTGTCAGTCTATCAGTTGCTGTGCCGTGAAGTTCTTTCAGCTTCCAGACATCTGTTGGTAGATTGTCCGGGCCAGGTGCTTTCAAATTTTTCATGCCGCTGATAGCTTTGGTAACCTCTTCAGGTGTAATGTGCAGGATTGGGCCAGCATTAGCTGAGCCATCGGGAATTGGCAGGTGTGGAAATTTGACGTTAGAGATTTTGTCGAAGTGCTGCTGCCAGCATTTCAGGATTTTAAGCTTATCCTGCAGTTGTCCATTTTTATCCTTAACACACACGGAGTATTCAGTGCCTTTTGCCACCTTGCCATTTTCACTAGTCAATAGATGTTTTTCTTACCTTCCTTTGTGGCCAGTTGTTCATATAAGTCCCGGTAGTGATTGGCTTTGACGTCTGCGACAGTTTTCTTTACTGTTCTTGCAGTGACGTACTTTTGCCAGTTCTCATTGGTCTTCTGCACATACCAGTTCTTGTAAGCCACCTTCTTTTCCTGTACCTTCTGCTGCACTTGCTCCATCCAGAGCCACACCTTCTTGTTGATTTGATGACAGCCTGGTCTCGTAGTGCCTAAGGTTATTCTCGCAGCAGTGGTAATGGACTCGTGGAGACCTGTCCATGTGGCATCAGTCGAACCTGTGATTGTTGAAGGAAATGTGATGCAGTTAATGATGGCTGTCTTGTGGTCCCGTAGCTTCCACCATTTGATTATCTCTGGATCTGTCATGCTGCCGCCTCTCTTTGCATGCTTGCTGATCTTCATATTGGCAACAAGCATCTTATGTTGCGGGGCGAGGCAGTCAGATGAAATGATCTTTATGTCCATAATAGTGGGGAAGTCAAGTTGTTGCACAAGGACAAAATCAATCTGGCTATTGTGGTGGTTGATGTGCTTTTTGAAAAATGTGTTGATAATGACGAGGTCATTTGCTTTGGAAAAGTCCAGGACTCACTGTCCATCATTTTGCATGTCATATCCATTTCCTCCATGACAATTGTAGCCTTCCTGCACACATCTGACATGTCCATTTAGGTCGCCACAGAGAAGCAGCAAGTCTTCTTACGGGCATGTAGATACACAATCTTGTAGTTCCATCCAAACTGTTTTTCTCTCCTTCATCACATCCAGTTTGTGGGGGATAGGTCGAGAAAACGTGTAATCGATGGGCAGCAGCGTCGATGACAGTTGACATGAGGTGGTCGGAGTGTTGATGGACCTTAGCAACATGGCTGCACAGATCAGGGCCTATTATGATAGCCACACCTTTGTTGTTGAACCCACCATGGTAGATTCGTTTGTATCCTTCATCGATGTCACGAGACTTTTAGCTTTTCCATCGTATCTTTTGTATGCATGCAATATCCACCTTGCATCGCTTTAGCATATCTGCAAGCTCATGGCTGCGTCTGGTCAAGGTGCTGATGTTCAGTGTGGTGGTGTGTAATTGTGATGTGTGAGCTAGCTTTTTTAGCCGGTTCCACCCTTGAACTGGTAGCCTTTGCCGACACCTGTTGCCTCTGGGGGACGCCCTAGCATTGTTCAACATTGTGTATGGCGGTTGATCCGTAGTTGTGACAGAAATTTACTGACTGGCTTGTCGCTCGAGCCTGATGTCGGTTGGTCCATGTTCAGCTCAGCACCACCCTTGCAGGAGGGCAGTTTCCAGCAGCACCAATGAGGAAGAATGAACCTTGCTGCCTATGGATGCACAGTCACTTTTCAATGAAATGGGCGGTGGCAAATTTAATAAATAAATAAATAAATAAGTACCCCCATTAGTCCCCTGCATCTGATAATTAGAGTATACAACTTCTTGGCACGGAAATAAAACTTGTGTCCTCTGTGATAGAAAGGCAAAACAGAGTTGTTAGCAATAAACATTATTTTTTTCTCTCTTTGTTACAGCTGCAGCCCTCTCTTTGAACAGTTTCTTTGTAATACCTTTCAGGCAACATCTTGATGGATACAGGTATTCTCCCTAAAGCCAACTCCTGATTTTTTGAAATTTTATCTTTTCATTTTATTTATTTATGTGTGTGTATGTGTACACTACTGTTTTTCATGAAATTTGTTCCAAGGATCTAACCATCTTAAAATTCCATAAAGAGAAGCAATAGAGAAGGGGAAGGCAAGTATAAGAGGGATAATCAAAGGAGGATTATACAGTTGTTACAGCTGCATGCAGTTAAGCTTGGTATCAGATTCATCCATTTTACAGGCTGTTTGTTGCTGCTGTTTCCGAGTCCTGTCTGTTGTTGGCTTAACTTTTTTCTTTTTTGATGCAACTCTATAAATAATTTTACAAGTAAAATATGTTTTACTACATACATATTCTTTCTGAACCCATAGAACAAAAGGGTTGGCCAAAACAGAAAGAACTAGTATAGAGAAAACTATATAAAGGAATATATGTATTTTAGACCTCTTGTTGATCTACAGGAACAAGCTACGTTTCTCTGGGAATAGCAAGAGTGATTGCATTGCAATTGTTGATGCATTTAAGGTAACTCATCTCCCTCGTTCCTCCTTTTATATATTAGGTTCCTGGAATAAACAGAGGTTTCTTTGTGTTATTACCTGCATTTATTTATTTTTCCTTTTCTTTAGTAATTATTGCTATTAATGAGATACTGCAAACTGTCCTTAAAACTTTAAATTAAAAGTCTATCTAAAAATATTTTCCATGTAAATAAAAATCAGAGCTATTTGACTATAAGATTTGGGATCAATGTGCATGGAATATGCTGCATCAAGGTCAATTACAAATTACATTACGACTTTTTTGTTGTTAATGTTAGGAATGGCAAGAAAACAAGCAAAAAGGAAAGCTCAGACATCCAAAGGTTAGTTCTACTGATAATCTTGTTTTTAGCTTGAATGTTTAATTGATCAAATATACTATATACCGTTGTGGAGTGTATCTTCTCCTTCTGCCTCTTTCAGTAGTGCTGAGCTGATCTTTTGAAATGCTGGATTAATGTCCTAAATTTAGAAAGGAGGTGAAACTGAGGGGAACTCATATCCAATTGTAGGAGATTAGATTAGTGTCCACTGGTCTGTGTCTCTTAAACGAGTTTAAATATTCTGGTCTTGGTACTCAAGTAGACCTTTTATCCTAACAGCTGTGTGTAGAAAGGTTGACTGCATTTGGTGTATATTGACTAACCAGATTATTTCTCATCCAAAGCTTTGGTACTTGAACAGATTGGGTTGCCCTGACACTGAGAATATTACCTTGGCTATTGTTTTAGGGAAAGCAGCCAATTAAATGTGAGCTTTTAAAAGGTTTGTTTATTACACCATTTCTATCCTGCCTTAATCCATGTGGCAGGAGCTGGTTGGTAAGCTTTTCGAAGTTTTCTAAGCTGCCAAGCTATTTTGGGGGTGCTCTTCCTGCACTAATGCCACTCTGCATATTTATGAATTTGAGTTGCTAGATTTCTATAGGATTCCATGCATCTAGTAGTAATTATTGTGGAGAGCTGGGACTCTCTTGATTTCTCCCTTTTGGATTAGGCCTACCTACAGATATCATGCTTATAGGGTAGAAGGGAATTTAACTGGAAGCTAAAGGGGGCCCGATACCACAACTTAGCCTGCTTCTGGAATCCTGATTGCACGTATAAAACAACCTGCAGCTAAAAGACTGCGTGCTTGCATGATACAATCTTGGAAGTTTGGGCGTTCACATGACACACAGTCTGTGGACAGAGGAGAGCCTGTATCTAGAGTAGAAGTTCTTCATTGTTTGCTCTTGGCTTGACTGCTTGAATAGTTCTGGCAGGTTGCTAATGACTACTGGAACAAAAATCTTGGTAGATTTAAAATAAAAAGGGAATGGCACAGAAACAAAAACAGTTGAGATTATGCAAGTTGCTTTTTCAGCTTCTGGTTACAATTATTATTGTTAGAATTATTTTTAATTCTCTTTTTTTCCGTCTAGGATGAACTGGTCTGGGGCCGTTCCAACTACATTCACATCAAGAGAATTAGAGAGGTGAATTTGATAGTATCTTTGCTGTTTCACTGTTCTTCCCTCCTCATCACATGATTAAAAATAATTGCTTGGCCATCTTGTTACACTTTTGCACCCACCTACTTGTGTTTTTTGCAGCTTCTAGTTTACACTGCCAATATTTAGTGGTGTGCCAAATTTCAGGTAGGCTTTTTATTTTTGCAGGGTTTTTTTTCAGAAGCAAGGCTGGTAAAGTTTTACTTTCTATGGTTAGAATTATTGCCCCCAGCCCACAAAGGCAGGTTACCATTTTTCAGGTTCATTTGCCAGAGATGTCACCTCACTATTGACCATTTCTGTACTATCTTTGGTGGCCAAATACCATTAAGATGGAAGATATGGGCCCTGGTTCCCCACATCTGACTTAGGAAGATAAAAGTGATCCAGATTAACCAGACCTGTATCCCCAGAATGTTGTTCTTGGCATTGAGAAGTACAATAAAATTGCTTTTAAAGCTTTTATCTGGGACAGGCATTTTCACATTTACTTTGGAGAACAAACTATGGATGATGCAAGAGATGTCTGATCAGGTCAGATGATTATTTTTTCATTCTTACAGAGCAATTTTAGGTAGGGAACGATGGGAAGATGTTTCCCCAGTGCCCCACCACCCAGTTAAAAACTTCTGGCTGTTTTTCCTTGCTCCCCTATGGGCTGATTTAGACTTAAAAAACCCCAGTCACTTGCAATTTGGCCATCTGTGTCTTACAGTTCCATGGAAAGCAATATTGTCAGGAGTTTTGCCTCTCATCCATCGAATTTGATTGTACCCTTTTTTCTTCTAACTGCATTTTGGAAAAAAAAAGGATATAATTTCATGAGTTCAGAGGTATACATGAGGTGCTGTCCTGTGTGCCTTATATAAGTCTTAGTAGCATGCTGGGTTTTAGCTGTCTGACTAGATCAAAACAAAAGAACGCATTTTTACAATATGCAATCACTCTCACCTTTATTAAAGAACTTAATTAATTTTTTTATTTTTGTGCAAGGAGAAAATATAAAATAATAAAACAGTGATTAGCATAATTAGCATTGCTGTCTGTAACATGTCTAATTAATAAAAAAATGTAACAGATAAGCTCCTTACTTCCTGCTCTTGAATATAAATGTTTGAAGCTAGTACCCCATGGATATAAACATGAACCTTGTTCCTTTCAAGCAAAGTTACTTTCCCATTGCATTTAGCTTCCAGGAGTAGCTTTCTCCTAAGAAAAGGTAGGCTTATTCAAGGCCAAGAGAAATGAAACATGTTCAAATCCCAGTGAAGAAGAATCTCATGCAACCCAGATTAGGTTCAAAAAAGATTTCATTTATTGGAACAATACATGCAACTCTAGGCAAAGCATTGCTGAAACTAAAGCCCGTACTTTTTCCCTCTCTTCTTTTACCCCTATTTCTCACCCCCCTCTTTCCAGGCGCCAGTTCTGTTTCCCACAGAGGTGCGACCTTGCACATTCCTATCCCCCGATAACAGTCCATCTTCCTGGCCTTTGATATCACACCAATTCCCTCTACTTTCCTTTTCACCCCTCCCCCTTCTAAAGAATGGCAGAAACGAAGCAAGCAACTACTAAGCTAATATTTTGATTGCTGAAGGTTCTGACATGCCGCCCTTCCAAAGAAAATGGCTCCTCCACGGATGTCTTGGGAGACCTGAAATAATAGGATATGGTTAGGATAGATACACACTACTGTAGATAAGTTCGTATTTACATTGTACATTCATTTAGGTTTATCTGGATATGTTCTGTAGAATTCCTTAATTAAATCTGGTGTTTTCACATGTTTCCTAGCTACCCGTTCTGCAAATGATTTTGGGAAATGTTTCCATTGTACTAAAAACTGTATGTCTGCCCTATGTCTCCTGGCATCCAGAATGTCTTTTATCTCGAAGTGCTGTTCACCTTCAATCATTAAGGGATCCGAGGTTGGTGGTGTGGGATGACATTTAGCAGATTCTTTATATGGCTTCAATAAATCACTGTGAAATACAGGATTGATCATGCTTAGGTTTTTTGGTAATTTAAGACGAACCGACACGGAGTTAATTACTTTCTCAATTTCAAACGGTCCTAAATATTTATAGCCCAATTTTTTGGATGGCTGTGAAGATTTTAAATTCTTTGTTGACAACCAGACTTTGTCTCCCACCTTCCATTTTTCTTTCCTCTTTCTGTCTGCATACTTTTTATAACTTTCTTTCACTTTAACCAGAGCTTTTTGCGTGACTGGCCACAGATCTTGCATCTGTTTAACCCATTCACCTACTGAGGTGACTCCTGTTTTTTCATGAGGTAGTTCAGGGATTGGCACAAAGTCTTGCCCTGTCGCAATTTTGAAAGGTGAACATCCTGTATGTCACAAACAGCGTTATTATATGCCACGTCTGCATAAGGTAGCAAGTCCACCCAATTGTCCTGTTGGTAGTTTACAAAACACCTCAAATATTGCTCCAGTCCAGCATTCTGTTGTTCACTCACCCCGTCCATCTGTGGATGAAAACTCAAACTCAGACCCTGCTTAGTCCAAGTCAGCCTCAAGAATGCCCTCCAGAATTTCGAAGTGAACTGTATTCCGCAATCGTTGATCACCCTTTCCGGACATCCATGAATTCAGTAGATGTGTTGGATGAACATGGCTGCTAACTCAGATGCTGAGGGGATGGCTTTGCAAGCTATAAAGTGCGTTTGTTTTGAAAACAAATCTGTAACTGTCCAAATTACTGTTCTTTTCCTGCTCTCTGGGAGATCGACAATGAAATCCATTGCAATCTCTTCCCAGGGTCTGGTAGGGTTTGCCACTGATTGCAGCAATCCTCTGGGTTTACCCCCTTGCTTCTTTGCCATTGCACATGTGGGGCATGTATTTACATAGTCTGCCACATCCTTTCGGATGGTTGGCCACCAGAATTGCCTCCA